AATTGGTCACAGGCCAAATATCAATTGGCAATGTGCTTCTGTTTTAGAGTAGGTTTTTATTGCTACTTACTGTGAGGAGGAAAGGGCAAACAGTTTATCACTTAAATGCTATCAAAATATTAATAATTTTTAAAGAGCAGAAAGTCTGGGGTAGTACAATCAGTATCTTTCCCCCAATCTTAAACCACTTTATGCCTTCCAACCTGGTGCAATGCAGAAAGTCTCTACTGTTTACAATTCTCAAATTCTATCCTTGGCTATACTCATTCATTTCTAATTTCTACTCCTAGCCATGTCTATTTATTTCTACTCTTTATATTCTATCTACTCTCTCAATCTGAACTATGCAGATGATTCTGAGTCTTGATATTCATATGTAACCTGACATTTGAGGGTTTATTTAAATATTCTAATTCCTAATTAGGTACAGCTATCTGTATGATTATCATCTTCCAAACTAAAATAATCTCTTCCAGCAATTCCTCCATAATCCTAATCACTTATGTTAAAAATGTCAAGACTACTTTTGACCTTTCCCTCTTGCACTGTTTCATCCATTTTTTTACCACAAAACTTAAATCTTTCCTATCTATTCCTATAGATGCCATGCTAATTGAGAATATTTATACTTCACAGAGATACTAGATTATCACAATATTTATAACTTAAGTTAGCTTTAAATTTTTTCACCCTACCTGCCCTCACACTACTATGTTAGTTCCTAATGTAGTCAATATGGTCATTTAACATCCAAAAAAAGTCTAAGAATGTCCTTCATCTGGATGACATTGTGCTCTGATTCTTTAAGTTTATCTTAAACTTTACCTCTGTCTTGTTAGCCCAACTAGATGTACTTTCACAGAACGTTAGCACTAAAGGAAGATATTGTTCCTCATCTGCAAAACCCACTTTGGAAAACCTTCCCCTCCATCCGTAACACTGCAATATTTGGGGAAACTGAGACTACAAATACTTCATCTGAACATTCCTTATTTGGACATCTTTTGATTATCTCTTATGAGCCAGCAGCTCTGCTAGTCACATAGACTTAAAATTTGGCAAGAAAGACTGTCCACACACAAATTGAACAAATAAATGTTGATGAGTGCTACAAAAAAAGAGAAAGGACAAAGGGCACTAATGGTGAAAGACTGTAGCTGAGAGAAGGGTGAAGCCTGAAACTGTTCCAGTGTGGGAAGACAGAAGGTAACTCAGGTAGAGGCTTCAAGTGAGAAATAAACCTTTCAGCAGGGTAAAAGAGTGAGTGGGAATCAACTGCCAAAATGAAGACTTCACTAGGCAGGAGAGCCCAGAGGAAGGATGGCAGGGGAATTCAAATGAGGCCAGCGTGCTGGGCGTATAAGGACTGCAAGGCTGCAAAAGAGGAGGGACAAGGTCGTGCGGGGCTTTAAAGGTCATGCTGAAGGTTCCTGAGCTTCATCCTCAGAACTAGTGGGCCTTGGGCAGCGTGTTCCAAGATACTTCACTAACTTTCGGATGGGCAGGACTGAGAGAAGCAATTGTGAAAACAGAAAAACTCTCACAATTTCATTTTACAACTGAAACATACCCTGTACCTCTGTCACTCTGTGTGTCTGTGTATGGTCTCACCCAAAGTCAAGTTAAGGAAAGCACATGAATTTATACTGATTACCATTTTCAGTTGGTCCACTTGGCTTTGACAAGTGGTCGTGTTTGTGTGTACCTATAAATACACAAGTATGGGCAAATTTTCTATTTTTAAAAAATAAAACAGAAAACATTCAAATTATAATAATACAATGAAAAGTTCCATTTCATTGTCTGGCTATAGATTAGCACTAAGTTTCTTTCCTTTAAAAAAAGCTTTCTTATAAAGGAAAATATTTTACGAAAATACCAACAAACTATCTTCCAAGGATTATTTTATTTCAACTGATTTTTTTTGTCTCACTTTCCCTATCGTAGGTTTGGATATCAAAATACAATTACTAATACAAGTTATTTCCTCTAAAGTTTCAATTTTATCAAGGGTAAAACTAAGGGAGTGAGGCTGATACTAATAAAGGAATAACAACTAGAATTTTTTTGAACAATTTCAGTGTTGTGTTGGACACCTTCATATACATTATCTAATTTAAATCCAATGATTCCACCAGATGTATGCTATTCTTTATTTTACAGATAAGGAAATTGAGGTTCATGTAAAGAAGCATTTCTAAAAACTATATATACCTTACATCTGTGCCATCCAATTTAGTGATCTGTAGCCATCTGTGACAATCAATTAAAAAGTGGCTAGTTTGATCAAGATGTACTCTTAAGTATTACAAACCAGATTTTAAAGACAACATAAGTACAATACCCTGTTAATAACTTTGAAAAAAGGTAAAATGTCAAAATGATGTTTTGGCTATAGTGGCTTAATGGTATTACTAAGATTAACTTTACTTGTTTATATTCTTTAAATCAGTTACTAGAAACTTTTCAATTACCTATTTGGTACACATTGTATTTTTGTTGAATAGCACGGACTTGGATAAAAGACTGGATAATAAATGGGCCAGCAGATGACAAGCAGAACGACAGATACATGGATTTACACAGATCTAGGTTTAAATCTCCTCTCCATCACTGATGGTCTTGGGTACGATACCACCAAATCGTTCTGAACTTTCATATCCTCTATATTATTATGGTAATATATCAGTCAAGAGACATACAATGGGCAAAGAGCAGGAAAACAATTCCTGAATACCTCCTACAACAACTGGTTCCTTCAAAAACTAGTCCCCAAAAGCATAGAAAATTCGCTCATTTGAAAATCATGTTTTATTTTTCAGTTGGAGGGGCTAAAGAACTCTTATATCTACTATAATACTACATGGCTTCCTTTGGATTTAAATTGTTCATAATACTATAGACTGCAAACCCAGATGAGATTACAGTGAGGTACAGAATGGTACTAATGATTCTTATGTATACAATCGTTGAATTCCAGTGAAAGAGTTTTGAACTCTAATTCAGCTAATCAATATTGAGAACTGAGTAAGTAGAATTTTACCTTATTTTTGTTTCTTGGGTCACAGTGCAAACAAAGTGTATTAGTGCAGAGGAAAACCCTGTAGACTGAGAAAAGTATCATTACTAAGAAAAGCAATCTGCACTATTTCATAAGAAACTACACAACTGCCAGGTGTGGTGGTGTACACCTATAATCCAGCACTCAGGAAGCTGAGGCAGAAGGACTGCTGTGAGTTCAAAACCAGCATGAACTAACAAAGCAAGATGTCTCAAAAAAAAGACAAAACCCTACAAAATTATGTGGCCCATGCTATCCAGTATTTTGTCAAGTATTTTGTCATTTCTTTCCAAGGCTTGTGTCAAGAAGTTAGTCTCGTAGTAGTGTATGCATGCGTCTTTACATTTTTATACATGTATTCAAATGTGAAAGTGGGGCAGCTGAACATTTACCTGGATTATTTGGCCCAAAATTGCCATGTGGCAATGGACGAGACTATGTTTGTTTTCTTTTTAATTAGGAGGTACTAGAGAAGGGGGTACTAGAGAAGGGGGTAATAAGACTTTGAGTCACCTAAATGTAGCCTCTTAAATGTCATATATGTATATACTAAATTCAACGTCAAAATAGTTCTCTCATCTATAAAACACCTTTCAGTAAAGGAGGCTGAGGAAGTAAAAAGTTATCAGTCACAGAGAACACACAGGAGAACAATGTAGTGGCCATTGAAAGTATTCAGTGCATTTTAATTTGCAATTTAATGCAGGAAGTAACACAGACTTTAGTTTAGCTATTTAAAGGCATACTCAGATGGGGTGAGGCACTAGGGAGAGGGCCTTTCTTTCTTGTATGTTGCATTAAAAACCCAATATCTGTAACAAAACTTTTAGCACCTCCGGAGTAGATTGACTTGATCCTAGCTCTTTGAACCTAACAGACTCAAACTGCCTTGTAATGTGCTTGTACTTACAATACACATACAACTATCTTTAGCACATGTCTTCCAATCTAGGGCTCTAGGTAGACTAAAACAGGAAAAAAAAAAAAAAAAAAAGACACAACGTTAACAGAATTAACAAATAACCAGACAAAACAGTGCAGGGTAATTAACAATTAGGAAAAAAAAAAAAAACCTACCCAAAATCTGGCATGTTAATTTCTAAAATTTAAAATTATAAAGAAAACTAAACTCCATCAATTTAACAGAAAACAATCAAACACTTAGGCAACTTAAGCTATCGCCCATATTTCAAAAATGCATATTTTAGAAAGGTTTATCAGGAAAGAATTTATTTGTACTAAGTTTAAATTTGGTTACACTTGAGTCAAACCTTTGAAGAAACTTGCCGTGTTTCCAGGAATGCCCTTTTTTGGGAGGGAGAGAGGCGAAAGTGGCTAGATTAAATAAAAAAAGTTAAGCCTGGAGCTTCAATATGAATGGGCATATCTGTGCCCCTATATGCTAATCCTCTCAGTCTCACTGAGCTGTTCAGTCTTCAAATAATTTGATAATCTGTCTCTAAAGTTTGGCACTATTGAGCTCAGTTTTTGCAAAACGCCCTGGCAGCACTGAAGTCTCTTCGGAGACCAGAGCAGTCTCAGTCTTGTCGAATTGTCTACCAACAGGATACGTGTGTGCAATGTTTGCTGTCAAACGCTGCAAAGGTGTATCTGCGCGGGTTCCGTCCAGGCAAGACTCGCCTATCCTCGCACAGATGCCTTCTTTCCACACACCCCTCCGCTCTCCTCCTCCCCCCGCAAGTTTTAAACTTTGTTTCCTTCGGGGATCTGTACTAGCGCTACTAATGATATCCAAGAGACAAAGGGCCGTGCTGTGTGGGTTCATCGGATGCCAAATTTTTTAGTTGTGAAACAAAGCGCTCGCATTTGAGATTCGGGAGGAGGAGAAGAAGGAGGAAGAAGAGGAGGATGGAGAGACCGGAGTCGGGCCTCTCCCTAGACAGTGCCCCGCCCGCGCCCCGCCGCCCGGCCCGCTCACCGCTTCACGCGGATGATCTGGTCCCGCATCGGCTTGATGTCCTGGAAGCTCTGCTGGTTGACCAAGCTGTAGACGAGGATGAAGCCCTGGCCGTTCTTGATGTACAGGTCCCTCATGGACGCGAACTGCTCGGTGCCCGCCGTGTCCAGGATCTCTAGCACCGACGGCGACGAGTCCACCTCGATCTCCTTGCGGTAGAAGTCTTCGATGGTGGGGTCGTATTTCTCGATGAAGGTACCAGTCACGAACTGCACGGTGAGGGCGGATTTGCCCACCCCACCCGAGCCCAGCACCACCACTTTGTACTCGCGCATCGTCCCTCCGCCGCCGCCGCCGCCCGCGACATAGACCTGCGCCCGCCGCTGCGCCGCGCCCGGACCTGCCCGCGCCGGCCCTGCTCACGGCACCCCGGGCGCCGGCGGCGGGGCGGCGGCTGAAGGTGCAGCGGCCCTAGGCATGGACCGAGCCGGGCGGCGATGCAACCCCGCGGGCGCCAGCTGCGACTGAGGGCGAGCAGGAGCGGGGAAGCGCTGGAGCCGCCCGAGCTCGGGCCCGCAGTGCCGCCTGTCCACGCTGCCCCGCCCCTCGTGCTCCACGCCCAGCTCCCCGCCAACCGCCGCCGCTTCCCAGGCGCAGGAGCGCGCGCACAAGCCCAGACGCAGCACTGCCGGGGGCGGGGCCGACGGGTGGGGCGTGGCCTGCGCAAGCCCCTCCCGGGGCCAGTCGCCTAGGCGACCAGTCGCGCGCGCTCCCGAGAGGCCCTGCGCGGCGAGGAAGCTTCTGCCCGCGCTTAGATAAACACGCACAGACTGAGTTTGCCCGGCGACATCCCACCCCGCGCACCCTGTAGAACTCCAAGCCTGCGAAATCCGCGTGCGCGCTGCTCGTCTAAGGTGGGAGCCGCATCAACCTGAGCGTCCCACGCTCAGAATTTAACGGAGTCAAAGTGGAAAAGAGGCGAGAGGAATCTACAGGCTTAAATCTAAAGCAGGGAGTGAAAGACAGGTGCAGTGTCCAAGGGGGTAATCATGGCGTGAACACCAGTGAACGAGACCCAGCCTGTCAGCATTCTGGAGAATCTGGTTTTATTTTGTATAAACATAACGATATGAACTGTTGTAGGAGAGATGAACGCCTCCAAGCCTCTGGCTGCGGCTGCATAAATACAAAAGTGAAGCTTGCTTTCAAAGGTCAGGACACTGAGGGAGCGGTGACAGCACACCTGAGTGGCCAGTCTTCGGCGCGCACACTACACGCATTCTGTCCACGCCCGATGACGTTACCAGGTCCCGCCTACTTCTCTCTAGCCCCGCCCTTCAGTGTCCAACTGAAGTGAAGTTCTTCCCACGCCCTGTCTGCCTGAGACATGTGGAAAACCGAGGAAACCTCAGCAACAGCCTGCTGGGGGCATCGAGTAGGAGGGTGGGATTCATTCTAGCCAATCAGTTCGTGAATCTGGACCCCATAGTACCACTCGTGACCAATAGAGAGACATTTTATACCATGTGATGGCTTCTCCTTTAACCAATCGGGAAAAAGTTTAGTCATAGGATTAGCTAACCCTTCTCCCGGAGCCTTGCCAGGGTGGGCGTTTGCGCCTACTCATGCTTTGCTAACCCAATCACAGGTGAGCAAATGAATGACGGAGGTTCGATCTGAGCCAACCACAACTCGCGATTCTTTTGCTTCGGAGAGCGGGCGGTAGAGAGACAGGGCGGGGGCTGGTGGTCCTTGGGAGAGGCCCCCGTGGCTGTGCCAGGTTCTGGCAAAGGCGTAGGTTGCCTTGGCAGGCGAGAGTGATGAACTCTGCTTTTAATATTGTCTCAGTGGTATTCTGCCTAAATGATGGGCCTGGAAGTGGGACTCGAGATGTGGCAGGATCGTGGGCTGAATGGAAAAAACGTAGACTTTGTCTTTAGATGAGAAAATTTTCCGGTCCTTAAGAATACACCTTGCCGCAGTTGCTTTGGTCTGCCACGCATGCCTCTAGAACGTTTTTCTTTTACTACTCAGTTTTTAAATTCAACACTGTGTCTCTAGTGTTAGATCTGAGGAACACACCTTTTCTCAGCTCTAGCGTCATGTAGACGACTTTTTATCCCAAACACCCTAGACGATGATATGATGATGATGATTTTGGAATAGTTGGTTTTGCATTTACTTCAAAGTTTTCTTCTGGAACTGGCCTCCCCCCTTCCCTATCTCTTGAAAATAATGCGTTTCTGTAATTCTAATGTTAGGTCAATGTGTACCTCTCCACTGTTCCTCTTTCCAACAAGGTCGTTGTAGAGATGCTTTTGGTCTGATTTTTTGTGCCGGACTGGTATTCTTGACCATTTTTCTTCAGTCAGTTATCAAACGACTGCAGAGATGTACTCAGATTGCCTTATTTCCCTTTTGCTCCCTTGTATTAGAATGGATAACCGATGTTTGCATTAATTTCCATAGATAGCAAGACGTTTGTTATTAAACTACTGAGGGCAACTGTCATGTCAGTTTTAAAATGTAAATTGCATTTGTTTCTCACTGAATAAGAATACATTTGTCTTGGCTTCAGTGGAGGACTGGTTCCTGGACACCTTCTTAACACACTCTGGATGTTCAAATCGTTTATATGAGACGGCATATATATGTATGCATAACCTATGCACATCCTCCTGTATAAATCTCAAGATGACTTACAATGCCTAATACAGTGTAAATTCTATGCAGATAATTATAGTGTATTGTTTGCAGAATAATGACAAGAAAAATGGCCATGCATGTTTCCCCCCGGATACAGAATTTTAAATCTACAGTTGGCTGACTCCATGAATATGGTGGGCTGACAGTATAAATCAGAAATCAAGAAATCATTATTTCTTGAGTATGTATTATCAAAATATGAGGAGTCTGAGCCACCAGAATCCACAGCAAAGGCAAGCTGTAAGAAAATAGAATCAGGAGTGTTTTAAGAGAATTGAAACTGAAGAGGATCTGATATGTGAATGTATGCTAGTAATGTCAAGAAGTGAATTGGAGTTGAGAGAGCTGACATGAAGCATTCGTGTCTGGTTACTCTGGTGATGGCGTTTCAAGACGATGTGGTAGCTTTTTAGAAGTCTCATTTTGTGTAAAATTAATATGCTTCCGTGTGGTTATACTTCCTTGTGATTACCTTAGTTACCTTCTATTGAAGAGAGACATGTTGTCTCTTGTAAGATTCAAATTGTGTATTTTGGCGCTAAGAAACTCTTAAGCTCAGTGGAAATGAAGTAGAGCCCAAAAACATTAACGTTAAACTATTTTTACAGATCCTACAGCCCATTTGGTTTTTTGCCGTCCAGTGGAGCTAAAATTTCATTCACCTTGAAAGGAATAAAAATCTGGTGTTTGTTTTTTGTTTTGGAAATTTGCTTTGGGTTTGTGATTCCAGAAGCAACCCTAAGCAACTATTTTTATTGTTCTCTTCAAAGCTGGGAAACTCTGGATTGAAGAGAATCTGGTAGAAGCTGTCATAAAAATTCTGAGTGGGCTTACTGGTCATTTCACCTAACATAATAGAAAATAGAAGAGCATTTTTTAATTTCTCATGATTTTTTTTAAGAATAGGGAAAATTTATTGAGAGAAGGAAACTTTCTGCCTAAGATGGACAGAAGGGTGCCTGGAAAGTGGCTGCCCTCTCAGAATATTTTTTTGACCTTTAGCCAATACTAACTTTTTTGTAAGAAGCATGAAGACTGAAGCTCATGAGGTATTGCAGCTCTTGTGCATTTCTCAGCTGTGCCTCTGGTTTTACTCTTAATGCCACAAGATGCAAAAGGGACAACAGCACGTATTCCCCCCTCTTCTGGCTCAGCATGGTATGAAGTTGATTTATTGCTATATGTGTGATAATAGTTAAACAATTAGCTGTGGTAGAAAGAGTGTCAGGACCTATAGAGAATTTTTAAAGATTTGATTATGAGGTTGAGGTCTATTTCCTGATCCCTTAATCATGTTGTTTATATGGCAACATAAGCTCTATTGTGAGAATGATTTTAGAAATAAAAATTTATGTCTTCATTTGTTTGTGGGGAAAAAAAATAAACACGAGATAGGATAAAATTGACTTTTTTCCCCAAGAGCTGTAAATTTCTGTGATTATGAAAATCCATAACTGTATACTGACACTGCAGGGTCCATTGAGTTACAGAGTCATGTTCCTAGGAGAAGAAAGGAAGAAAGAGAAAGGGAAAACTTCATTTGCCTTCTCCCTACTGAATCTGAAAGGAGTTATCTCACCTATATCCAGATACCCTCAATTGTCACAGTTGTGTTACCATGGAAACTCAGCTTCTTTCTTTCTGTGAAAGATGTTGAAATAGGTGGATGAGGTGGGAGATACACTGCATACTGGGACTTCCTGATGCCAGCAAGAAGGAAACACGCATGGGGTTTCATATAAACAAATTAGAAGATATTTGCAAAATGATCAGTACCTCATGGCTACAATACTCTGATTCCTAGTGGTTCCTTTGAAAGCCTGCATGTCTCTGATTAATCATAAAAGGGAAGGACAACTCAAATACACGTAGCATGTAGGAAATGCTGCTGACAATTGTCAAGGGAGAAGAAATTTTCTTCATCTCCAAATCACCTAAAACAGCTGAGAAGTATATGTTGAATAGGAAAAAGAGGGTAAAATAAACTTGTTCTTTTTGAAAATGTGACATGTCTTGGTGCTTTTGAAAAGAAAAATTAGGATGGGAACATTCAGTAAGTGTGCATGAAAGAAACCTATAGGTTGCCTATTGAGGAAGTAAACGTTTCAAAAGTCAGCTGTAAGTAGAAAACATTGTGAAAGAAAAATTTTAATAAGGAAAAAAGGCGAACAAAGAAAAAGCCTGAATAATCCTAAGAGCTTGAGGGTCCCGAGGGCAGCAGTGCATTAAAGTCATTCACTTAGCACACCAGAAGAGTGGACGCGGAGCTGTTTGCAAACCCTACAGTTTTCCTTTATTTTTTTTGCCAGAGAATCTGGGATGCATCTGGATTGGCCATTCATGACAGTGTTTTCCCTTCTCATTAGTCCAGAAACAGATGTGTGACTCAGTTCTGGCCAGGGCTGGCAATTTCTGGAATTCTGTCAAGATTGAGAAGATATCCCCATTTGTTCCCCTCACTTCTTGCTTTGTACTTTGAAGCTATAGCCACTGTCTTTAAGCCATGATGCTCTCTGGTTGAGCATCATGGTTGAGGGAAAAAGCCACTGGCTTCCGATGGTTAAGGAGAAAATGGGAGAACCTAATCTTGGCTAACAACTGTGCTTACTTTGTTATTACAGAAAATAAAGTA